AATACTATGATCTTTAATTAGCAAAATGTACGTATATGTATTCAGGCAGAACACTATTGGCATACGTCACGCTTATCACACTGCTTGAAAACTTAACGTTTCAAAGGGATATTCCATACTTAAATTATAAAGAATATTTTGAACCGCATACAATCATTTTACAGGCAGTTAGTTGTTCGAGATCTTTCACATTGAATTTATTTTTTAAGAACGCCAAGAACGCTGGTGAAGCTTTAATTCACAATTGCAGCTATCTACACAACTAAATAAAAAAAGGATAGTGTTGTAATCTACAAACATGCTAACACCTTCGTTCTAGTGTTGAATTATTTTGGACAAAGAAATCTGCAAGACCAAGAACAAGAAAATTAAAAAAGGAGTACAAACACATGGCATCAGAAATTATGATGGCAGTCACAAACAAACGTGACATTTATAGTGACATTTATTATTTTGAATATTTAGTGTATTGTATTTATAAAATATTATGTAATAATTCGAGGAAACTTCGAACGTTAGTGAAAGAAAAAAAAAGTGCACCTAACACTTCAAACTATGCTGTATGACATGTATGTTTTTACATATTTTGATACTTCTCGATCATTTGTAATTCTTGGTTGGTTAMATTTACATATGAAAATGCCTCTCAAGTGGTATAATTATCGCTATACTCTCACTCCCATGTCCAGTATTTAGATCCCTTTTGGCTTTTGTRATAGCGCATCGATTAGATATGCGTCCAACAGGAATGAACGATGATGGCGATGGCTGTTCGTGATCTTGATAGCAAACTTGAATTGGTCTTCMAAAATAGTCCCGTGCTTGGGGATGTGGCCTGAACCAAGTAACATAGGCCAAGACGTATTTAATAATCTTTCYGTCTTTCAAKATCAACGTATGCTTTAAGAAATATTGTATTTCACCTGTAACAGAATACAAAAAAATATTAAAGTAGTTTAAAAATTATTTTTCGAGTCATCTAACGGATGTTATCATGCATTTTGTATTTTGCCAATTGTGCACGAAAACNTATTTAGATCCCTTTTGGCTTTTGTGATAGCGCATCGATTAGATATGCGTCCAACAGGAATGAACGATGATGGCGATGGCTGTTCGTGATCTTGATAGCAAACTTGAATTGGTCTTCCAAAATAGTCCCGTGCTTGGGGATGTGGCCTGAACCAAGTAACATAGGCCAAGACGTATTTAATAATCTTTCRGTCTTTCAAMATCAACGTATGCTTTAAGAAATATTGTATTTCACCTGTAACAGAATACAAAAAAATATTAAAGTAGTTTAAAAATTATTTTTCGAGTCATCTAACGGATGTTATCATGCATTTTGTATTTTGCCAATTGTGCACGAAAACATACAAATTGAGTTGTTTCTTTATAGCATCAAAGAACAATATCGGCTAACTGTATGACAATTGATCGGATGATTTAATAGATATGATAAATTCATCGGCATTTTTCACCCCAGCCGTTCAGTGTTGCAGTAGTAAACCAAAAAAATACCTGGTCTTCTCTCTAAGCTAAATGTGTCCAGACCTGTGTTACCATGCCATCGCGCTAGAATCACGGATGACCTCATGTTCCTTGACTTGCTTGAGCCATAAAGTTCTCCACACATAAGCAATTCATAGAATTCGTCATAGTTTTGAGGAACCATATCGATTGTATCGTGGTAATGTAGATGCRYATYCATTGCTCCCAAGTCTTCTAACTCTTCATCACACAGATATTTTGCCTTTACACGGCCAACACTCTGATAATACGGGCATTGGGCAAAGCAAATATTCTTCAAGTCCCCAGTGAAATCGTACTGCTGTATAACTCTGGTGTACTCACTTGCTTTCAATCTCACACTGATTGCAGTTGACCCCTTTTGTACAGCTTTGGTATTAAGTGTTTTCTTCATGCATTTAAGTTCTGKAGGCCATTCTAAGACATTAATCTGCTGATTTTCCAGAAACCGACGCATTAGCTGTACCTCGATATGACGMTTGTTTGTTTGATATGCACCTAAAATGCCGTTAAATCTTTCAAACCCAAAACACCAAAAAGAATATACAGGTCCAAAGTAGTCCAGAATACAATCCGTCAAATGGCAATGTAGATGCATGTTTATTGTTATGCTTTCCTTGCCATACATMTTTTCTACTGATTTACAGAATTGCAAAAGTAATTTCTCAGCAATACGGCAATCACTCTTTGTAAGACRCCTCTTGCAAATCAATGTACAGGCTTTAACAAAGACCTTCCATGTTTGAAGATGTACCGCTGGTAGGACACCTTTGAGTGCATACGAAGAAAATATTAGAGTCCAGTTCTTAAATTGGTCAGCCGTGAAACCAGCGAATCCTGAAGCTATTTTCAGAGGCACTCGGCCGATGCCAGCAGGGGTGTGCATTTGATTGAKCCGCTCCTGAAGTATTTGAAAATCTTTTTCTTGTAAAAGATTTTGCTCCTTCCATATTTTTAACATGCGCTTTGTTGTACCAAGTAGCAGGTTATGCATGGGATCTATTACGACAAAGCGTATACTATCAAAATATGGAAGCTCACATAGACAAGAATACCGAATACCATAATCTCGTTCAATTTTCTTTCTTTCTGCTTTGTTCGATGCAAGTCTATGTTCAAACGATTTCTGATTATGAGTGGTCATATCTCGTCCTGTCCAGTTTTCTTTATCAAATCCTGAATAGTCATTCTTCTTACCAAATGATTCGCAAGGAAAATCTTTCATGCATTTATTACATCCACGTCTGCCTCTGAAGCTGACAAACCCTGCTAGCTTCCTAGCGGCAGGTATATCACAGGATGCACAAAGAATAGACAGTTTGCAAAATCGCTTTCTCAAGCTATTACTGACTTTTATCCATGACCCATGGTAAAGCTCTTTTAGTTCTTCTACAGCAGGGGACAAAAATGAGTTGACGTTCTTGCTAGGCTCGTGTGGACCAGGAATGATACCGATTACCGCTGTGTTTTCCTCCTTATAACGTTCTTCTGGGGGGAGATTCATGAAACACAAGTAGAGAACACCAACACTGTATTGAACACTCTCGTAAGGCTGAAACCAGTCGAGATTAATCGTACATCCGTAACTCATAGGATTTTCAAAAAACCATTCACCATAAGGGCCTTTGAAGTTTTTCCAAACGTTACCGTCATAGATATCTCCTAATATGTTAG